CACCTTGTTGTCTCGGATTCTCCAGCATCTGCAGTTCCTACTATCTCGGACCTCAGAAGTGGTCTTTTATCAATGTGCCTTGGCAACAGATGCCCCAGGTTTTAGTTCATCCCTCAGCACATAGTTCTAGACCTTAGAAGGTGCCAGTTTGAAACATTCAGTCAGGGTCAACTCCTTGTTCTGGAAGACCAACAAGTTTTGGACAGACCAAAGAGTGTCTTTTACCGAGTTGATTACTCCAGGCGCAATCGATGTTTGTCTCGGTGTGCGTCCCCGGGAACAGACCGTACAGCACAGAGTTCTATATCACAGAGATGCTCTGGATGAACCTCTACAAAAACCACAGCATCTTTCTCCAGACTTCCTTTCCAAAGGCAAAATGTGCTTTAGGGGCATCCACTGTGTTTTTAGGAAGGGAGTTACAGGGTTTTGACCCAGCAACAGTGAAAGAACAGTGATATATTTCTAAGTGAGGCTGGTGTGTGGCTTGGAGGAGAATTTCCTCCAAGGTGATAGTGATCCCATGAATCTGCAGCACATATCCTTCTAGCTGGTAGACATTGTGGGTTTGGAAGATGCTGTCTGAAGAACCTTGGTGAGTTGCTGAAGTACATTTTGTTGATGTTGCACAACACTGCCACTGTACAGACAGGAAGTAAATGTTTAAGTTGATGAAGGTTTGTTCTGGATGTTCTTGCTTTTGGGGCTGCCCTCATCTGGGAAAGTAGTTTGTATTCAGTCGTAGTCATGACTTACTGCCTTGTAAATGGTGGACAAGGTTTGGGAATTCCAAGGTTTGGGAATTCAGGTGGTGAGTTACTCATCACAGAATTTTCAGCCTTTAATTTATTCTTGTGGCCACAGCATTTATGTAGCTGGTCTTGTTCAATTTCTGGTCAATTTATTTACTTTTGTGATAGGAGAATACAAACTGCATTATTTAAAGTGGGCAGGGAAACACAATTTTGCAGGAATGTAAAGCACTTCTTTCATCGTATCTGAACTTGCCTTTTAATGCCCTTCTTTCCAGTGATGATTGAGCCCTCTCCTCAGCTCATACATTCAGCAGACTGTCTTCCAAAAGCAACTGACCAAGATTATTATCATACCATTCAAATAAAAGCAAAATGCTGTGCATGTTCGAAATTTGAAACAAAAACAGGGAGTGCTGGAGAACTCCAGCAGGAGTGGCAGCATCTGCGGAGAGAAAAATGGTTAAAATTTTGAATCCGATATGTCTCTTCTTCAGCACGGGTGAAGAAGTCATACTGAACTTGAGCGTTAATTCTGTTTCTCTCTTCAGAGGTGCTGCCAGAGCCAAAGTTTCTCCAGTACTTTCTGTTTTTATTCAATACCATAGCAGATCCATTTATTAGGACTGTAAGGATAACAGCCAAATTCCTAATTCAAAGAAAAATTGATTAAAAGAATTTCACGCGCTCAAGTGGGTTTTAAAAGAGGAGAGGAGAAAGGGTTAAGGGAGAGAATTCTAAAGGGTAGGACCTCAGCAGCAAAAATGCATCACAGCTTACTGCAGGGCAAAGAAATGGAAAATGGCTATACAAGAGGTTACAGATACAGCTTTGTGAAATATAGGCTCAGAAACAATAAGGCTTTTTTTCATGCATTCCTGGAAAACAAGTAAATATTATTTACTTAACTATTTCAAGGAAATAAAGAGATTTGTCCTTTCATAACATTTACCTCTAACTTTAGTCTTTCATATTATTCTTTCTCAAATAAGACCTTGTTGGTAACCTATCTGTATCCGAGGTTACCATGGGAAACAAATTCATACGATAGAACAATAAAACAACCATGTACAATTTTGTCACAATTCCCTCTCACATTTCGTTACTACTTTCATTTAACTAATCTTCTTATTGTTAATTAAATAATATGCAAATATGTTGGTTGTGCTTAACCCATGTATGGATATTTCATTAAGAAGGCAACCTATGCAGAGGTCAGGGGCAGAAAGGTATACAATTACACCAAACACTCTCTTCTGTTCATAAGAATCTTCTAAAATTAGTTTTAATGTAATTATCTGTCTCATTTCCAAACCATGCAAACCCCATACTCCTCCTTTTTCTACAGCTAACAAACCACAACTACCCTAAGCATAAGACCCTCAAACCTGATTATTTTCTCCTGCCTCATTGTTTTCAAACCCCAAATCTCCCTCTCCCTGTGCTCTTGCATTCTCTCACAATAAACAATATAAGAGACTCTACTACACGTTGGAAAGGTATGAACTCTTGTACAAATCCATCATATTTCGGTATGAAAAGCATGAGCAAAGATAAAGAGTGAATTCATGTTGCCTTTTTCAGGTTTGGACCTGGAAATTTCCCAGCACTTGGTAAATTGAAAACGTCCCTTAGTGAGTGCATTTAGCCTCGAACTGACCTGAAGGAACATTGCTTAGTGACAACAGCGAGCCTCTGAATGACCTGAGAAAACTTTCTTTAGTGACACTGCTCAACTCTAACGGACTTTCAGAAACTTTATTTGGTGACAACAATTAATATCTGATCTCAAAACAATGGCTTTAAAAGTACAAAGCACAATTACTTGGCTGTTTTGTGTTGTTGTGAGGTTGTGAAAGATGCAACAGAAATGGAAGACTTTCTTTGATATCCTTCTACTCCACTCCCCCTTATCACCTTCTTCTTCTAATTTCCCCTATTTAAACTCATCCATACTATTTGCCTCAACCACCTCTTGCAGTACTGAGTTCCACATTCTAACCACTTTAATTAAAAATATTTCTCCTGTACTGTCTATTTGACTTCCTAGTGACTATGTAATTTTTGATCCCTCGATCTAGTCAACCCTGGGAAGCATCTTACTTATTCCTATTCCGTCAAAACCTTTCAGAATTTTAAAGAATTCCATCAGGTCACTTCTCAGTCTTCGGTCTTCCAGAGAAAAGAGCCCCAGCCTGTTCAATCTTTTGTGGTAGGTATAAGTTCTCAGTACTTGTACCATTCTACTTAACCATTGCTGCACCTCCTTCAATGCCTTGTCTTTTTTCTCATCACAAGGACACCAGAAGAAAAAATTCACAGAATTTGAAATGAGGTCTAACCATTTTTCTATGCAAGTTTAAGTTAATCTCTCTGCTTTTCAATTCTATCTGTTGAGAAATGAATCCTAGTGCTTTTTTTGCTTTTCTATTGCTTGAATACACACACCAACAGGTTCAAGAACAGCTTCTTCCCTGCTGTTATTCGACTGCTGTATGCCTCGCTTTGTCTAAGTGCCGTACGATCTATATGTCCTTGTTTGCTATGACCTGCTCATATTGCTCGCAAAACAAAACTTTTCACTGTACTCAGGTACTTGTGACAACAATAAAGCAAATCTAAATCTAAATTAACATATGTTCCCACTTCGACTGAGTTGTAGATCTGTATCCCCAGATCCCTCTGTTCTCTACCTGATGATGGAACAGGGTCTTTGAAAGAGCTGTCAAATTAGTTGTACTTACCTACTTTTACCCAATAACTCTGCAACTTATTATCATTCAAGTATTCGTTCAATTCGCTTTTCAAGGTTTTTATTGATCAGATATCAGATTCCAAATTATCATTGTGTAAAAAGGTTTTTCCCTATATCACCTCCCATTCTTTTGCTAGATGCGTTAAATCTCTACCTTCTGGTAGGAACTGTTCAGTCACTGGAAACAATTTTAAATACCTCTATCAAACTTGTTTTAACCTCCTCTACTCTAAGTAAAACAACTTCAGTTTCTCATTCATTCAGTTTTCTCAAATCCAGAGCTATTCAAGTAAATCTGTTTTGGTTACCTCTTTAAAACCTTTATGTCATTCTTAAAATGCCATGCCTGGAACTACACATAGTCTTTCAGTGAGGGCAAATTAGTGTTTTATGTGATTACATACTATTGAAGAAAAACAGGAAAAAAATTGGAAATATTCAGGTATGGTAGGATCCATTGAAATTATTTCTGTGGGGAAATAATAAATTAAAAATAACCAATTGTAATGAAAGAACGTTGTATTAAGAGATTGCCAGGATTCACCTTCTTGGAGCTCTTATTTTCACATGACTCAGAATCAACACAATTTACATGAGATAACGAATAATTGATACTTTACATAAAAAGGTTGATTTCATTTTAATAAATTGGTACGACTAGGATATATCTGACCCGATTCCACCACTTGCATCATTCTCTACACAAACATAGCACTTTGCAGCTAAACATTTCTGCAGTATGCTGCTTTTATTCACAAAAAGGGTCTGAAGAAGGGTCTAGGCCCGAAACGTCAAATGTCCTGCTCCTCTGATGCTGCTTGGCCTGCTGTGTTCATCCAGCTCTACACCTTGTTATCTCAGATTCTCCAGCATCTGCA